AATGGGGGGGGGGGGGGTAGTTCCCCATTTCCCACCCCGGTTTTTCCCCCTTTTTTTTGGGGGGGGGGGGGTTTTTAGAGGGTAGGGGGGCCTTCAAACCCACCGGGGTAAGTTGGGGGGGGGACAAGTCCTTTTTGGTTCCCAAGCAACAAGAAGGGCTGTATTCCGTGGGGGGAGATAGCTGTACACCGGCAGTTGGGGCACAGCACCGGGGTGGGAAGAAGAACCCGGGGGGCGCTTCCGGGGGAACAGAAAAGGGCTCGAAAAAAGGTTTCAGAGTGGGGTGTGGGGGGAAGACGGGAACAATTGCTCGGGGGACATTTCCTCTTTTGGGGGGGGGGGGAACAACCCCGACACGTAGGATTTCTTTGGACCCGGAAACAGATGTTCCCCAAAATTTTGACGAGTTACAACCCCACGCCAGGATTCCGGGGGGGGGGGGGGGGGGGTCTAGAAAATCGCAAGAGAGAGCGACCACGACGGCTTAAATGTTGAGCGAGGAGGAGGTCGAAAGGACCAGTAACACCAGGACCAGACCTCTCTGCCATTGGAAATATCTCCAAACATCTCCAAGAAATTTCCTGGCGCAGGCAGGCCGTCGGCGGTGTCAAATCGCGGTCTTTTAGTGCGGAGACGAGGATGAGACGTATTCCCCTGCTGAGCAAGTACGTCCACGGATATTGCCTCCCGAGGATGAGCATTGGCTAGTACAAGCTAGCGTTGCTTGCCGAGAGGGAGAGTCATCATCACCCGCACTGCTCTCTCAAAGAGCCGGATCTTTGGGTGTGCGAGCGTGTGCTGAACAACGCCAGACCTCAAAAACGCGTCCGGAGCGGATACGGACTACAAAAGTGGCGCTGGTCAGCTGCGCGTGTATATCAGATTTGTTCATCCGAGTGTCGACCCTAGCCAAGGGCGGGTGGGCACGGCGGTAGGTGCTGTCCTGCTGCTACGTATCGTGACAACTTCATCGTGATGCGTTGGAAAAAAAAAAAACAGCGCAGGGTTCGTATCCAATCACGCTTATGCCATGACAGCGTCCAACGGTTCCATTTCCAACATCAACACACCCACATGAAAAGGAGAAACATACAACACAAAACACCGAGACCCGCACAACGAAAACAACTATTTTAACCCATGTACGACCAACGTCGACCTCTTTCGGTATATCCTTCTCCCTCCCTCCCTCCCTCCCTCAATCTTACCAACAAACGGCGTGAGCGGCGACATGAAAATCATGTCGGGGTCGACAAGGGCGACTACCGCTTCATGCACCGGGTAATCCGCGCTCTTCAGATAGTGGGCCATGCCGTTCGGCTTGTTGTAGAACATGAACCTTTTTGGTGAAATGCAGGTAGAAGAGTTAGTTGCGCACAAGCGGGGGGCACGTCAATGTAAAAAAAAATGGTGCTTGGCGGGGAGGGACGGCAATGACCACAGAAGCCACAGCCGCGCGTAAGACTGCCATCGCCGGCGATTCAACAATCCAGGCGAGACGTGGGGTTTATGACCACTGAGAGATTTGGCTGACTCCCTCTTTCTAGCCGAAGACCACACAAAAAAAAAAGACAGAAGATGGGCCGGACGGATCGGCGCAGACAAAACAGGTGCAACAGAGCGTCACAGCGAAACACTCTCCAGACAAAGGTCTCGACGGAGGGGGGCAACGCGGACAATGTCGAAAGGACCTCCCCCCCCCCCCTGCTTGCCGGCCGTACGGCATGCGTACCTCACTCATCGGCTTGCCCTCGGATCAAAGCCCTCGATTAGCTGAGCTAGAAAGCAGCAACAAGAACACATAGAGCAGCTGATGAGAGCGACGCACAACAACAAAAACGTGCACACAGCGTCGACCGAGCCGGCCACGCGCGCGTACCGCTCTCCCGTCTCTGGGTCGAAGCTGTAGTCCGGGGTAAAGTGCACATGGAATCGCTCCGGCTGTCTCATCATGAAGACCTCCAGCTCCAACCTCTCGTCTCTCGTGCAGCCGCTGGCCACACGAGTCACGCGCCCCTTCTGCCCAACCATCTGATGCCATGCACACGCGCACGCACAATGCACGCAGCCGATTTCGACGATAGGGGCAAGCAACGCGGCGGGTGATTCAAACACATACAGACAGAGCGAGCGACACAGAG